CATATCACCACTTATCAAATTCACCACACATCATACCTATTATTCGTACTAATAACTTCACAGTGGTGTACATAATTGCTGGTAAAACTTCAATGCCCATTTTCTCAAAACTTAAGATTTTGTTCGATATTGTTGTGCTTTTTTTATATAATACTCACATTTTTCAGACATTTAGTCTGTAATTTTTTGTCATATGTTGATTCGTTGAATCTTTTTTTTTTTTGAGTAGGGAAATCAAATTTAAAAGACGGAATTTATTTATTTACCAATATTTTCCAGGAACTAACCAGACCCAAAACTGGTGAACAATAATTTTACCACTAGGCCATAAAGATTATACATAAAAAAACTCAAACCATAGTTCCTTATAGTTGCCGAATTTAGCATTTTTAATATTGATCCAAATTCATGCATTTTGAGGTTTATAATATTTTCCTCTACTTTTTTCATATACATGATTGAAAATTTCTCCAGAAAAGTTTCAAGTTATACTCTATGTACACAAACAAAAAACACTCATTGCACAATTTTGAGGTGAAACTCACTTGCATCCTCAAACCATAGTAAGAGAGTGAGGTCACAACCGATAAGAACATAAGAACATAAATATAGAGGAAACTGCAGTGGGCCTATTGGCCCATACTGGGCAGTCCCGTTTCACCCAACCCCTATTGCTCATATAAGAATCCAACCTATGTTTGAAGCTATTCAGCGTATTCGAGTTAATGATGATATTTGGTAACTTGTTCCATTCATCCACTACTCTGTTTCCAAACCAGTGTTTACCTATTTCACGCCTAAATCTAAATTTATCTAATTTAAAACCATTGTTACGAGTTCGCTCCTGCTTGGATAGTTTGAGTACCTTTGTAATGTCCCCTTTGTTTAGCCCTGCCTTCCACTTATACACCTCTATCAGGTCGCCCCTCGCTCTACGTCTCTCGAGAGAGTGCAAATTAAGATGCTTTAGCCTGTCTCTATACTCAAGGTTCCTAATGCCAGGGATTAGTCATGTCATTCTCCTCTGAATTCCTTCCAAGGATTCTATATCCATTCTGTAATACGGTGACCAGAACTGAACTGCATAGTCCAGGTGTGGTCTCACAAGAGCAAGATACAGTTTTAGGATGACCTCGCTAGTCTTGTAACTAACACTCCTTTGTATGAACCCAAGTACTTTATTAGCCTTGTTACGAACAAAAACACATTGTTACTTGGTTTTAGGTTCCTACTTATCATTACTCCTAAATCTCTCTCGCAGTCGGATTTCTCTTTGGCATCGTTGTTCATCTGGTATCTGGTTTCCCTATTTACATCTCCTATACTGAGTACTTTACATTTGTTGACGTTGAATTTCATCTGCCATTTTTCAGACCATTCGAAAAATTTGTTTAGATTTTCCTGTAGTTTTGCCGAGTCCTCGTCAAATTTAATAACACGTCCTATTTTAGTGTCATCAGCAAATTTACTTATGTTGCTGTCTATGCCGATATCTATGTCGTTTATGTATATAATAAATAATAATGGTCCAAGTAGTGAGCCTTGGGGAACTCCACTTGTGACGTTGCTCCAATGGGACTTAGTGCCGTTAATGCTCACTCGCTGTTTCCTGTCCTGTAACCACGCCCTAATCCATTTAAGGATGTCACCTTTGATGCCATGTGCTTCTACCTTTCTAATTAGTCTTTCGTGGGGGACTCTGTCGAAGGCTTTGCTAAAGTCGAGATATACCACATCATAATTGTGCCCCTCGTCCACCGATTCGAAAACTGATGAAAAGAATGTGAATAGATTAGTTAGGCAAGAACGTCCGCTTGTGAAGCCATGCTGGGAATCATTGATCAATAAGTGCTTCTCCAGGACATGTTAAGCAACTTTGCTAAGGGCATACTAAGCTCTTCCTTACATTCCTTTAATACTCTGGCAAATATCCCATCGGGACCAGGTGACTTATTAGGATTTAGTTTGTCTATTTGCTTACTAACATCGTTACTAGTCACTACTATCTCACTTAATTTGTTTTCTTCACTATCTCTGAATAGAGTCGGTGCCTTGGGTATCATGTTTAAATTTTCTGTGGTGAAAACTGTTGAAAAATATTTATTCAAATTATTGCTCAATTCTCTGTCGTTTTCAGTGAGCTCGCCGGTGTCTGACCGTATTGGTCCAATCTTTTCTCGTGTTTTAGTTTGATACATTTGGTAGAATCCTTTGGGGTTTGTCTTCGCCTCCCTTGCTATCCTTACCTCATTATTCCTCTTTGCTTTCCTTATCTCGGTTTTAACCCTACTCGCCAATACCCTATAATAGTCCCGGAGGTGAGTTTCGCCACAATTTATCCTTCCTTTGGCCAATGATGTTCTTTAAATAATTATTTATCCATTTAGGGTCATTGTTGTCTGATCTGAGTTTTTTGTATGGTTTGTTCTGCCTTTGTGCATTAAGTAACTCACTATTTAAATTGTCGTGGAACTCGGCAATCTCAGATCTCGTTATCAGGTCGGTGTCATCTGACAGGTTCACGGCCAAGCGCGACACCCCCTCTCTCAGCTGCCTCTTTAAACTGTCAAGGTTCGCCCTTCTGAAATCTGGTACTTTAGTGGAATTTTCCTTACGTCTGCCCTGAAAATCTAACTGGAATCTAATTTCTTTGTGATCGCTGTTTGCAAATTCGTTCCCTACCTCGACCCTGCTAATGAGGTTTTCTCTGTTTGACAGAACTAAATCGAGTATATTATTACCCCGTGTGGGTTCGGTTATATGTTGACTTAGAAAACAGTCCTGGATAGTCTCGAGAAAATCCTCTGATTCTGAGTTACCTGTAAGGTCAGTCCAATCTATTTGGCCAAGGTTAAAGTCGCCTACTATACAGACTTTGTTGTGTATGGAAGCCCTGCGCATTTCATCCCAGATAAGTTGCTCTTTGACTCTATCAAGATTGGGAGGTCTATATATTACTCCTGTGATTAATTTTTCTCTACCGTCGATTAATTCTATCCAAATTGTTTCTGTATTCCGCTCAGTTTTTATCTCCTTATTTATTTCACACTTCAGATTATCCCTAACATAGATTGCTACTCCGCCTCCTTTCCTAGTCTGCCTATCGGTATGGAACAGTTTGTAACCCGCAATTTGGTATTCGACTGGTAACTCACGTGTGTCTAGGTTGATCCATGTTTCAGTGAATGCAATTATATCGATTTTTTCGGTACATACCAAGGCCCTAATATCATCCATTTTGTTTCTCATACTTCTGCTGTTCGCGTAGTATACATTTAAGTTAGTCGTGTTCTGAGTCCTCCCCTTACCGCGTTTAGTTTTAAACTCCCTGTCTAATTTAGTTTTGTCATCATTCCTAACACTATTTCCCTGTAATCTTTAACTTTGTTTACCCGCTCCCACTGCAGTCTCCTCCACCCCCGTGCTCATATGTTCTCCTAGCAGTTTAAAGACTTCGAAATCTTTTGAACTGCCCCCTCTAGAGCCCCAGCCAGGGTTGCTACTCCATCCCTAGCATAAAGGTCCCTTCTGCCATAGAAGTTGTCCCAGTTGTCAATGAATAGGACTGATATTGACTTGCAATATCTGTCAAGACGGTCGTTGACACCAACCGCCCTTGACAACCATTCACTGCCAACTCTCCTTCTAGGCAGGACACGGCATATGGTAGGGATCCCTCCCTTAGTCCTAATACGATCTATAGCTGCCTTGAACTTATCAAGAAGCTCCTCGCTCCTACACCGGCCAATATCATTGACTCCTGCACTGAGGCAGATAATGGGTTTGTTCCCATTACCAGACAAGATATTGTCCATCCTGTCAATTATATCCCCCACCCCAGCTCCTGGCAAACACACCCTCATCCTATTTTTGTTTTTACCACAAAAGGCCCTGTCCAGGTACCTTACCTGTGAGTCACCAACAATTAAAGTTTTTATACCTTCCTTGTCATCCCTGTCCCTGACTGTACTAACGTCAAATTCGTCTATCAAGGGACTGAACGGGTTGGTACGCTTAGCTGTTGTTGTCGTATCCTTGGTGTACTTCTTCACCACCAGCTTCGTCTTCCCACTACTCACAAATTTCCACTCGCTTGAGTTTTCGTCAGACACTGGCTTTACTCGTCCAGCCTCCCCTTTTAACTTCGCCAGCTCTTCTTTTAATTTCAGGTTCTCCAACGTGGCCCTCTCAATTTCTTCACTGGTCTTCTTCAATTTTTCCATGGACCACTCCAGTTTGGTCAACAAACTCTCATACCCAAGACCGCACATAGCACTGGCCATATCTGATAATTATCCCTCCGGAGCTAACCCTGCCGTGACCTTTCCCCTAGTGAGGTCAGAACACAACTGAGTGAGGTCAGAATAGGGGAGTCTACCACTGAACCCTCTGGTAGACCTGGCCTTGGTTGGAAACCTGACCCTCTCGCAGTCTTTCGACGCGGGTTGCGTCGGTAACAGGAACAGTTTTTCCATTTTAGTGAACATTGGGTAGAGAGATCCACTCCCATAATGAAACCCTAATGACGCTCCTGCCAACCCCTTTGACTAGTGGGAGGAACCTAAGTGGTTGATAGGGCCGATCCACTGTTCCTGTGTTTGTGCTTATGGGAGGGGTGTTCTCAGGGTGTGAGATACAGCTGAGCTGGAGGGGTCGCACCTGCACGGGAGTGCATAGCGACGCAATTGGCATCAAACGACTATGTTCTTCACTGAAGAGGATTCACATAATATCCCCTCAGATCTTGTCAGTGAACATAGTGTGCATAGTTTATCCCACCTAAGAGTTACAGAACTTAATTACAATAATTGTGTAACAAATTCATATCGTTTTTTCCAGACAAATAATTTTCCATCGAATATTGCAAGTTAATGAAAAAAAAATAACACCTAAATATGAAGAAGTATGTAGTTTAAAATTAGGATGGCCTTACGACCCTCCGCATTTTTTTAAAACTACTGACAGACGAAAGATCAATAGAAGTCTTCATCTTAACTCACCTGAAAGCAAGTTTGCCATTAATGTTATCAAGAAGGAAGATGAGGGCGTGGCAGGTGAGCATAGAGTCACCCCACACTGCTTGCAGGAGATGATCCATAGTTCCATGGTTTTGGGCCAACTGGGGTTGAGAAAACAGCCGCCACGCGTCCATTACCACCACACTGGTTCCGTCTGCTGCCAGTTGTCTGCGGACCAATATTCGCCAGATATATATACAGTCAGTTATACTGGTATATACAGACTGTGCTCACCCCTGAAGATGTGAATTACACGAAAGCTCTTGGGCACTTCTTGTTTTCTTGTTCCCTATGTGGCTATCAGCATATACTGTACATATATATATATGTGATTTTGTATATCAACTTCTTAGTGAAACTGACAAAGTCCAAAAAAGAAGGTTAAATGCCAAATTAAATGCTCTGTTTGACGAGAGTTACTGGACCATATTGAGTAATCCAAATTTGTTCATAAACTTATCATCTTATGATCTACAGACAAATGAGTAACTTGTTCTTGGTTTTGGTAGGAAGTTTTCTGTACTAAGTTCTTCCTTATAATGGTTTAATACTCTGGCAAATATCTCATAGGGACCTGGTGACATATTAGGCTTTAGTGTATCCATTTGTTTACTAATATCGTTACTAGTCACTACTATCTCGCATAATCTATTTTTTTCACTATCTCTGTGTATAGTCGGTGCCTCGGGTATCATGATTAAATTCTCTGTGGTGAAAACTGTTGAAAAATAACTTCAGATTATAGCACATTTCTCCGTCGCTATCAGTTAGTTCGCCGGTATATGTATACTTGTCCAATTTTGCTCTGTGTTTTAGTTTGATACATTTGAAAGAATCCCTTGGGTTTGACCACGCCTCCCTTGCTACCTTCGGTTCATTATTTCTCTTTGCATTTCTTACCTCGGTCTTAGCCCTACTAGCCAATTCTTTATAATAATATCAGAAGTAAACTACACCACGATATAAACTCCTACCTCTAGCTTTATTTTGTCCAATAATGTTCTTTAAAAAATTATTTATCCATGTGGGGTTAATGTTATTAGATCTGAGTTTTCTGTATGGTATATTTTGCCTTTGTATATTAAGTAACTCGTTATTTAAATTGTTATGGACCTCGTCAACCTCAGATCTTGTGGTCAGGTCGCCTGAAACAGTCATATTTTGTGAAGTTATTATTGTCAGGTCACCAGGTAAAGTGAGGTTGCTCTCTCTGGGTACAATGTGAGAGGTCACTTCATGTGAGGTCATGTAATTTCCTCTCCCAAACGCAATACCACTTCTCTCAGCTGCCTTTTCAACCTATCAAAGTTTGTCCTGCTGAAATCTGGGACTTTAATGGAATTTTCCTTGGGACCGACATTAAGTTTTACTTTGAATCTCACTTCTTTGCGATCACTGTTATCTAAGTCGTTTCGCACCTCGACATTGCTAATGAGGGTTTCTCTGTTTGACAGAACTAAATCTAGTATATTATTATCCCAGGTGGGTTCAGTTATATGTTGACTTAGGAAACAGTCTTAAAATATTTCAAGAAAATCCTCTGATTATGAGTTACTGGTAAGGTCGGTTCAATTTATTTGACTAAAGTTAAAGTCACCTACTATACAGACCTAGCTATGTCTGCATGACCTGCATATTTAATCCCCAATAAGTTGCTCATTAAGCCTATTGAGATCAGGAGATATATATATCCTACTCCTATGATTCATTTTCCCTACCATTGGTTAATACTATCCAAATTGTTTCTGTTTTTAGTTCAGTTTTTGTTTCCTTATTGATTCCACACTTCAGATTATCCCTTACATAGATTACTACCCCACCTTCTTTTCTATTCTGCCTATGGGGCTGGATTAATTTGTAACCTATAATTAGGCATTCGACAGGTAACTCATGTGAGTCTAAGTTTATCCATGTTTCGGTGAATGCTATTATATCGATTTTTTCGGTACATACCACAACGCCCTGATTTCATCCATTTTGTTTCTCATACTTCTACTGTTTGCATAATAGACATTTACAGGTAAGTTAGTCGTGACCTGAGTCCTCTCTTTGTTGTGTTTAGGTTTTGACTCACTGCCTAATTTAGCTCAATCATCATTCTCAGCAATGTTTCTCTGTAACGTTTCACTTTGTTTACCCGCACCCCACTACAATCTCCTCGATCCCCATGTTCACATGTTCCCCTAGCAGTTTAAAGACTTCGAAATCTTTTGAACTGCCCTCTCGAGAGAACCAGCCAGGGTTGCCACGCCATCCCTTGATAAATGTACCCCATGCCTAACATAAAGGTCTCTTCTGCCGTAAAAGTTGACCCATTTGTCAATGAATGGGAGTGATATTGACTGCCCTTTCCAACAATTCATGGCCAACTCTCCTTCTAGGCAGGACACCATACAGTATATGATAGTTATCCTGTACTTATCAAGGAGCTCCTCACTCCTACACCGGCCAATATAATTGCCGCTTGCACTGAGACAGATAATGGGTTTGTCTCCATTACCAGAAGAGATATTGTCCGTCTTGTCAAAAATATTCCCACTCCAGTTCCTGGCAAACACGCACTCATCCCAGTATTTCTATTTTTGGCACAAAAACTTCTATCTAGGTACCCTACCTGGGAATCACCCAAAATTTAGTCTTTTTACCGTCCTTGTCAGCCTTGTCCTTGACAATATTACCGTCTAATTAACCAAAGACTAAAAAAGTTAGTTCACTTAGCTGTTGTCGTTTCCTTTTTGTATTATTTCACCACCAGTTTGGTCATTCCCCTCCTCACAACCCCCCACTCTCCTGTGTTTTCGTTAATCACACACTCTTCCTGATTCATCTTGTAATCACTTCCTTCAAGTTTTCGTCCTTGACCTTCACTAACTCTGCCTTTAAAAAAGGCACAGAGCTGTTCACAATTAATACTAGCAATTGCACTAACAGTTAATCCCTGGGAGCCAAATCGGCCGTGACCTTTCCTCTAGCAAGGTCAGCACACAACTGCTCAGCGTAAGCAGCATTTATTTCTCCAATGAAAGCTGTTGTTGTCCCACCCCCATGACAATGTTTGTAAGAAGACATATCTATCCATTGTATATTTTCACCTTGTGGGCTGCTGAACATTAGGAATAAACCGTTAATTATTATTTATTATTATTATTATTATAACATATATATGAGCACCCTTTTCATAATTTAGTCCCTTCACTACATGACTTTTAACATTCTTGAACTATATAATTATATTATATCCACCATTCATCCTATGGAGTTTGACGCATATTAGCTCCACTTAACATCAAGTAATTAACATTTGTTTTGGAGGTAAAAGTATTAGATGTTGATAAAAGTGGAGGGATAATTCAACATAGCATTTAATTTGATATTCAGGCCTATTTCTCTCTTGACTCACCTGATCATCGTTGAGAACATTAAGCTTTGTGTTGTTGTATCGACCAGCACCAAGTGACACCCAGCAAGGCGCTGTTCCACCACCTGGCTCACCACCTCGCCCACCTGGTCTGTCCACCGTTCTACTACCACACCACTGTGGTACATGGGAGCTGTCATCAGCACGTCTGTTTGGTGACTGAGGCCGGCATTACTGTCCACAGTACTACCGACACACTTTCTCACCATCAACAACGCAATGAGTGTCGTCATGCGTACAGTTGTTGACATATTCGCTGAAAAAATTGAGAACACAATTATATATTCATCAAAATTCCAGGTAATAAGTAAGTTTGTGTATAAACATAAACAGGGAGGATGGAAAACTAGTGACATATCTTAATTGTAAATACCTCACAATATTGACAGAGGAGGGGACAATTGATGTGAATTCAAATTTGAATAAACAGATATAATAACTCCTTGTTTCCGTCTATGTTTTTACCATTATCCTTTTCTTTCATTAATATATATTTGTTTCCAATCGTTGTTATTGTTCTCATCTTTTCTATAGGATTATAAGAACATAAGAACGGAGGAAACTGCAGCGGGCCTATTGGCCCATACTTGGCAGCCCCATTTACACCCAACCCCTATAACCCATAATATCCACCCAACCTGTGTTTGAAGCTGCCCAGCGTGTTCGAGTTACATAAGAACATAAGAAAATATGGAGTCTGCAATAGGCCGGTTGGCCTGTGCATGGCAGCTCCTGTCGAGAGTTACTACCACTCTCTATCATCCATGAATCTATCTAGCCTCCTTTTGAAACTTTCCAGGGTTCCCGCACTTACTACAAAGTTGCTAAGCTTGTTCCACTCGTCCACCACCCTATTTGTGAACCAGTTTCTTCCTATCTCCCTCCTAAACCTAAACTTATCCAACTTGAATCCGTTGCTCCGAGTCTATCCTGCTCGGATATTATAAGAACTTTATCTATCCCCTTTATTGATTCCTTTCACCCACTTAAATACTTCTATCATATCTCCCCGCACTCTTCGTCTTTCTAGGGAATGCAAGTTAAGTTTCTTTAACCTATCCTGATATGGAAGGTGTCTAAGTCCCGGAATCACTTTTGTCATTCTTCGCTGCACCGACTCTAGTGAATTTATATCCATTCTATAATAGGGGCACCAGAACTGAACCGCATAATCGAGGTGCGGCCTGACTAGCGCAAGACATAGTTGCAATAAGACCTCTGCACTCTTGTTACTTACACTTCTAGATATAAAACCCAATACTCTGTTTGCCTTATTTCGAACATTAACGCACTGTTTTCTAGGCCGTAGGTCCGGGCTTACAAGTACCCCTAGGTCTCTTTCACAAGTCGACTTCTCTAGGTTGATGTTGTTAAGACTGTATACATCATAAGTATTTGTTCTTCCAATATTAAGTACGCTGCACTTGCTGGTGTTGAATTTCATTTGCCATTTTTCAGACCACCCCTGCAGTTTATTTAGATCCTCCTGTAATGCATCTGCATCCTACCCGGAATTAATTTGCCGCCCTATTTTGGTGTCATCCGCAAACTTGCTTATGTCACTGCTGATCCCAGTATCTAAATCGTTTATGTAGATTATGAACAAGAGTGGGCCTAGTACTGACCCCTGGGAAACCCCACTGGTTACACGGCCGCACTCAGATTTAACACCATCTACGCTGACCCTCTGCGTTCTATCGGTGAGCCATGATTTTATCCAATTTAAAACTTTCCCCTCGATACCATGAGCCTTAATTTTTCTCAGAAGCCTCGGATGCGGTACTCTGTCAAATGCTTTGCTAAAGTCTAAGTAAATAACATAGTAATTTTCGTCATTATCTACTACCTCGAAGACTTTCCTAAAAACGTTAGCAGATTTGTTAGACAAGATTTTCCCTTTGTAAACCCATGTTGAGAGTCGTAGATTAATTTGCTTTTCTCTAGATGCGATCGTTAGTGATGATGGTTTGGTAACTTGTTCCAGTCGTCCACTACACTGTTTCCAAACCAGTGTTTATCTATCACTCGCCTAAATCTAAATTTGAAAAATTTAAAGCTATTATTACGAGTTCGCTCTTGGTCAGATAATTTAAGTATCTTTGTTATATCACCTTTGTTTAGTCCTGACTTCCATTTATACACCTCGATCATATCGCCCCTCACTCTACGTCTCTCGAGGGAGTGCAAATCAAGATGTTTTAATCTGCCTCTGTGCTCAAGGTTCCTAATGCCCAGGATTAATCTTGTCATTCTCCTCTGAATTCTAAATTCACTCTATAGTATTACAACTAGAAGCAGCATGAAAACGATTCAGTTTGAAAATATTTGCTTGTGAGATTAAATATATTCAGTAATATATAAAATATATATATACAATATATATATACAATATATATATATATATATATATATATATATATATATATATATATATATATATATATATATATATATATATATATATATATATATATATGCAAGTAAATCACTGTAGGTGAGCGCGATCTAGGTATATGCTGATAGCCACAAGGAAAGAAGAAAACACGAAGTTCCCAAGCGCTTTCGTGTAATTCACATCTTCAGGGGTGAGTACAGACTAGAGAGAGAAATACAAACCAAGGTGTATATATACAGAGGAGGGTGAGACCAGGTCCACAATGGTCAGGTATTAGGTAATGACCCTACTAATCTTTAAATAGCACACAACGGTTGGTGGTCAGGTCAGATGGTCAGGTGACCCGGCCTTCTCACCTGGTTACAAATCTTCTTAATTACAAAATTGTCCAGCTTGTACATGCCATTACTCAAATTCATGTTGAATGCTTCGGTATGTTTAATAAGACTAGATTCTATGATGTTCCTACTATCAATTGAATTACAAGGTAATATTGAGGAGGCATTATCCCAGTCAATGCAATGCTTGTTATCCCTCAAATGAACAAACAGAGCAGTAGGAACATCATAGAATCTAGTCTTATTCGTGCTCTGTTTGTTCATTTGAGGGATAACAAGCATTGCATTGACTGGGATAATGCCTCCTCAACATTACCTTGTAATTCAATTGATAGTAGGAACATCATAGAATCTAGTCTCATTAAACATAGCGGAGCATTCAACATGAATTTGAGTAACGGCATGTACAAACTGGACAATTTTGTAATTAAGATTTGTAACCAGGTGAGAAGGTTGGGTCACCTTACCCTCTGACCTGACTACCGACCGTTGCTGTGCTATTTAAAGATTAGTAGGGTCATTACCTAATACCTGACCATTGTGGACCTGGTCTCACCCTCCTCTGTATATATACACCTTGTTTTGTACTTCTCTTTAGTCTGTACTCGCCCCTGAAGATGTGAATTACACGAAAGCGCTTGGGAACTTCGTGTTTTCTTCTTTCCTTGTGGCTATCAGCATATACCTAGATCGCGCTCACCTACAGTGATTTACTTGCATATATATATGTATATATATTTCATCATCAACCGCGGCAGATTATTTGGATATGATATTTCGCGTTGACAAAAAAACCCAGACAGATTTCGATTATGTATTTTAATCACTGCAATTTTACACAGGAATATGAGGACTGATTGTCTGCAGGATGTGATCTGCACTAATAGCAGTCATTCTTGTAGGCCGACGGAGGTCTAGACACTGAGGGAGTGATGGTGGCATTGTGCTTTTTCATAACTTTAAGAGGTCTGCCACTACGAGGTCATTCTTGTAGGCCGACGGAGGTCTAGACACTGAGGGAGTGATGGTGGCATTGTGCTTTTTCATAACTTTAAGAGGTCTGCCACTACGAGGTCTTGTGTTGACGTGACCTTCTCGTTTCCAGCGTTTGATCCACCTGCACACAGTCGATGCACTCTTACCTGTTGTTCGTGAAATGGAACGGCAGGTCATCCCGTCCATCCACATGTACACTATCTTAGTGCGCTCAGTCAAGTCTGTCGGCTTATTAGGACGCCGAAACTTCATTCTTGTTCTCTATAAAAGAAAATAATGGTAAGTCGCGAAATTCAGAAGACTTATAATTAATTCTTAACGACGTCTGTGCGATAATTTTACGAGCAGTAAGTTGAACCATACCAGAGAGTACGGTAGCAACATAGTAGGTAGGGGAACTCTGTCCAGATATTATATGATTGACAGTTTTAATTTTTTTTTTAATTTCACAAAAGTCAACTTAATTTAACATGTGTGTTTGACTCTCATCTTGTTTGTGATGATATAAATAACTGAATGATTATTGATAACAGAGACAACAATATAAAAGGAATACAACAAATTAACAATAATGACACAGCAGACTTGATTATGACCAAGATCAAATGTTCGCATATGAAAAATCTGTTATTTTCATTTTTATAGTTTCTTCTGTCAATCCTCGTCGATACTCGTAAGAATTTTTTTTAATGATTTGGTTTTCACGGGTAAGATGGCTAAATGATTACATTATTTAATATATATACTTGACTTATGTGTGTGATTAATTGTTAAAGCTTTGCCTTTGTTCGAAAAAATCTTTTATAAAACATTCAGTAGATATTGTTTTCTATGTAGCATTAATTTGACATACAAATATAACTAATATCGAAGCTCATTATTAGTGGCTTACCCTTAAAGGGTAAAAAATTTTAACGATATCAGGAATGAGTAAGGGAAGGTGTTGAACGACTTACAGGGTGTGAACTGTAGGTCACAGGAGACACTTGGTGACGGGGCGCGGTGGACGACTTACAGGGTGTGAACTGTAGGTCACAGGAGACACGTGGTGACGGGGCGCGGTGGACGACTTACAGGGTGTGAACTGCAGGTCACAGGAGACACGTGGTGACGGGGCGCGGTGGACGAGAACACTGAAGAGAGAACATCTCTGTCGCTCTTTTTATTTGCTCGCTCACTCACTCACTGAATGTCAATCGTCGACGTTAATTATTAATGTTTTTTATACTTATTTTTAGAACTTTAAAGATTAATTTAATAAGAGGCAAGTTCTGCATCTAATAATTTTAAGCACGATATATAATCGTGTGAAGGAGAATGTGAACGAAAGAATTAGTTCTCTGCGAATTGAAAGCTTAGTCTTTCCATTTTATAAACTGCAATATTGATTTCATGTCCATGTATTCTTCCTGCATCTCTTTGACTACCTACAGTATGTGTGTGTGTGTGCGTAATAATAATAATAATTAACCATTCATTGAAAAAGTATGGCAGCCTAAAAGGCTGAAAATATACACTCAACAGACATGGAAATGGGTTACTTGATTGACAAATAATACACACGTAACAAGTGATACAAATATTATATATACAGGTATTAACAAAGGGAGAGAAGATCATTTAACAAGGAATTATCAGTATAGTAACAGTGTAAAAGTAAGATTCGCAGGGAGTAAGCAAATTGGTTAACTACGAGTTGTTGATATTTTTTCATAATGGTCTGAAATGGGCTGTGCTTATAGCGATCAGTACAAGTTCGTAGGGTCTGGATGCGGATGTGGGATCTCGGGTGGGAGCAGGAGACGGTGGAGAACCCTCTCCTCAAATTTGCAGAAGAGGTCGTGGTGATGATCATAGAGAAGCGAGAGGGTCAGTGTGCTGAGCGCTTCTTTATATGTGGAGTAGAAGGGGAGGGGGAATAATCTTGCACGCTTTCTTCTGCACTTTTTCAATGTGTTTCTGTTGTGTGGCATTTAGGGAGGAAGGCCAGGCAGTAGAAGCATAGGTGAGCTTGGGAAGTATGATTGCTAAGTACGTATGTAAGAACTGAGAAGCTAGGGCGCGGGAACTCCGAGGGGTTGGGGGTAACGGAGGAGGTGGAGACGAAAACTTGGAGGATTTGACAATTGTACTCACAGGTGTTTTCCAATTTAGTTTGTTATTTATAGTGACGCCGAGGAGCTTATTGGAGTCCACAACCTGGAGAGGTTTATCTGTATAACAATGGTCTTGGTATGAATGATGGTGAAATGGTTGTTGGTGGCCTAATTTTGGAGACTTCAATATTTCAATATATTCTGGAGAGTGCTGTAATAGGGGGCCGATTTGTTCACACTGATCCCAATGGTGGAGTCGTAGACATATTTCCAGCGAACGGAAGTTTTTCTTAGGACATCATTGATAAGGGTGAGGAAGCAGAGCGGTCCCCTCATGGTGCCTTGGGGAAGCTACAGGTGACTGAAATGTGGAAACAGTCCCTCAGAAGTGCACCGCTTGGTGTAGGTTACTAAGGTTGATGACTTTGTTGATAATTATATTGTGGTTTTCTAGGTCGAATGCCAATGATGTCAATGAAGGTGGGAACCACAGACGTCTTGCGTTTTTCCAATTAGCAATATATGTAGCCGAAAAAAGCTGACAAGACAGTGGTTGGTGGAGGAAACTTTTATATTGCGAAATTACTGAGAATCTGTAGCGCCTACAGTATCAGCATAAGCCCAGTGAAAATGAACTTGCGCAGATTAGGCTGGGTATTGGGATGAGGCAATGGATCGTAACTCGTTTAAGGATCGTGGGCTCGTTGACTTGGGCACTGGTGAAACATACGAAGACTTCCAGTCTGCTAAACATCTAGCTTAGCAGATGGGTTTAACTAGTTCTGGGGAGAACTTTTTTTAGAGCTTCATTGGTACGTCACTGGGGGTGGTGGAGCACTTGATCTTCTGTGTGTGTGTGTGTAGGTGAAAATAATCTTAGAGCACGTGAGGGCAGTAGAAGTAGGTCATTCGTCTGATCATCTTACGGAGAACATTTCTTATCTCCCTGGGAGTCTATATATCAAATGTCCACATTAGTCTAATAACACAAGAATTAAGGACTATAAATATCACCAAAATAGCCACCAAGAAAATAAATAATTCATAACACGTGGCCAAGCTGATTTTATCATAACAATCCTTGAAATAATCTTATAGTATTGGGTAAAAATGGAGACGTGTAAAATATCATAGACTTTGCGACCTTAGAGAGTCTGACTTGTTTGGAGTGTGTTTACACGTGCTACACAACACACCGACCTACCAGTGGCCTATATTCCCGTATATGGTGGCGTGTCTGTAGATCCGACTCCTTTTATTTCCGACAATATTTCGAAAATCTAGTAAATAACTTTGGGTCCAAAACTATCTGAAATATCCCTCTTGGTGAGAAAGGAGTTTTGTCTGATTGCTAAATTATGAGATAATTGCAACAATCTTACCCAATTAGAGGTTGCAACCACTGTTATATAAAACAGTTGAAGAAAGAAAAGGGGAATAAATGACACAGCATCAGCTTAGAGTTTAATTACGTCAACAATGTATAATATTACTGGAGATATATATAGAATGAATCTCCCTGAAAGAATCTTTAATGCCCTAAAATTATCAAACAACTTTTGAGTCCCCCTCCCTCCCAAAAAACACTGTTCTTGCTATATATAAATATTTGATCTAATTTATACTGGTGATTATCCTGCTTGAGTTTGGTTGACTCTGGGTTGATGGCAGCCAACAATATTAGTCTCACTGAATTAATAAATCCCAGTAACTATGAAAAACAGAAAATGATCACAATGCCTCAGTTTGTTTAACACCCGAAGATAAGAAATGTAATAGTCAGCACCAATCACTGACAGATGCCAACTGAACCTATACAGAACTTTCGGATCCTGAAGTTGAACTAACACAGTATTTTCATCAAGATGCTCTACCATGAAACTCCATTAGAGTACAGCGAAATTCAAGCTCTCAAAAAAATTCCAATGAATCATCTATTTACCAAAGAAGTCAAGGTCCCATTTGGGAGGGGCGGCTGTTGACCAGCCCGCAAACACAAATGGTCATAAATCCCTAGGGTAAAAACATACACGAACTCTCTTCTCCCGGGCACTTTGTTACTTCTCTGAAATTATTCCGGTGTTTTATTTTTTCCTCTAAAACTTTTCATCTGACGTTTTGAAAATCTGTATTATTCTAGAGCAATTTTGTTTTCAATGTTTTCATTCAAAAAAAAAAATATCTGAGTGGATCTTATATTTTTACTTTATCTTAGGAGAAAGTATGACGCGGGTTGACCAGGCTTAAGAAAGTTATTTGAGAACAGTGTTACTGGAGAGACACACAAATACATTTGTAAAAATTACTTTCTCCAATTCTGTGAAAGTTATCCTTGCTACCTTAATATTATATGGTCATCCTTATGTAGCAATACTATGTAGTGAAAATAAAATAAATTTGGGATCACCTGAAGAATCGTCACCCCAGCCCACAGTGAATATAATTTGTATAATTAGGGTAACATAAATATATTCCTTTGTGTTATGCATCTTTATTGTGAAAAGTTTAAAGAAAAAAAATAAGAAATATACACCTAACCTAACCATGGAGGATCCTGACCCCACCTGAAGAATTGTCACCCTGCCAAACTCTGGGGTGACAATTCTTCAGGTGATCCTAAATTTGTCTATCATGAATGTGGTAAAGTGAAAAACATGTCACAAAAATTTTCAGTTATATATATATATATTGATAAAATCACACGGGAAAAGGGAAACAACGGAGCACCTTAGCTTTCGTCTTTATTCAAGACATCTTCAGAGGCAACTGGATTACATGGACAGAGAGAGGCTTAAATATACAGGGTGACCTTTGATCTAGAAGTATGATAGTTATTTAGTGGGTCCCATATTTTTGACCTGACCTGACTAGTCACGTCGCCCCCTTCTCTTAAGCTCCTTTAGGTGTGTGTTGGTGTGGGGATTAGTGGATGACATCATTATAACCTGACCTCATGTTTAATAAGGTCACCCTGTATATTTAAGCCTCTCTCTGTCTATGTAATCCAGTTGCCTCTGAAGATGTCTTGAATAAAGACGAAAGCTAAGGTGCTCCGTTTTTCCAATCTTATCCACGTTTTCATTGTCTATCTACATATATATATATATATATATATATATATATATATATATATATATATATATATATATATATATATATATATATATATATATATATATATATATATATATATATATATATATATATTACATTGTGTGTATGCATGTTTGTGTGTGTGTGTTTGTCATAAAAATACGTTAAACGTGTTAGCTTCCATACAACAATTGTAAAAAACAGTTCACAGAAAAGTAATGTCAGATAACGGTATACATTTACATGTCTTATCAATATGAATGGTCTGTATCATACATCAGTTTTGGGTATGATTTGCAACAAGATTTGATTGTTGATTTTTGTAGCAGAAGTAACTGAAGATCTCCACTAGAAGGGCGAGGCAGCAACCCAGTAGCAGCAGGTAGAAGGCACCCTGCAGGTGGTCCAGGCCCAGCACCACTTGACCCGAACTCTCCTGCATAAGAACAACGCAACTGTGATGATCTTGCTGAAAAGTGGCCTTGCATATCTAGCGCTCACTGAGGGAAAAGCCACATTCCAATGATTTCATGGCAAAGGGGATACTATTCACAAAAGTGCCATGACCCGGTGCCTGAGCCTCGGATATCAATTAATTTACTTGATCGTTAACGCAGCACCTTAGCTATGTCTTGAACTATGTTTAGTACACACGGTTAAAATATGTTATTTATACAATATGCATGAAAACAAGTTTCAATGATATAATAGGATAATGAAACGATTTGCAGAATCTATCGCTCAAGATTGAAATAAGAAAGTCCTCGCTGAGGACTTTTCTCGAGTGTATGTGTCATATATATATATATATATATATATATATATATATATATATATATATATATATATATATATATATATATATATACTGATAACCACAAGGAAAGAAGAAAACACGAAGTTCCCAAGCGCTTTCGTGTAA